GTAGAAATTTTTTTTATTTTATATAGAAAAAAAAAATTAAAAACCGTGTGATGGTCAAATACCACCAAAAAAAAAGCTCTATGTGGGAAAAAAGATATAAATGTAATTTGCATGCAGTATTGTATGACCTTGCAGTTGACGGCGCAGTTCAGAATAGCAAAAAATGCCCTGGTCATTAAGGGGGTAAAACCTTTCCGGAGCTCAAGTGCATATGTACTCTAAATACTGCCTGCATTTTTGGGAATAGGCAAGGAGAGACAGGGGTGATGTTGATGTTGGTGGGGGGCCAGAAGCACTATCCAGGGAACTGAATGAGATATTTCTGAGTTGGAAAAAAGGAAGCCTAAAATTACAAGGATGAGGTAACTAGCTTCCAAGCACTTTAAAAGTCCAAGTTCACTTTTTGTAAAAAAAAAAAAAAAAAAAAAAATCCTAAATGCACGTGATTTTGCATATAAAAAACTAAATTATTATTTTTTTTACCAAAAAAAGCATTTATTCCTTTTTTTTTTTTTTTTTTTTTTTTAATTACCATGGAGCCTGCAAAGCATTGTACACATGATCAGTAGATCACGGGTGCAATGTCAGGCTCCTGCAGACACTCTTGCTTCATGTTTGCTCATACCTCCATATGGGCAGACAGTTACTCAGCTGCAGGAAGTGTCAATGGACTATGAGGGCACTGATGAGTGCTCTGGTAATTCATTGAGAACTACAAGTTGTCTGCCGCAGTGGAAGATGAGACTTGTAGTTCATTTATTCACCGTTTGCTGTGAATGAATGACTCTTCTTTCTGGATGGAGCCCTCTGCATTAGTAGAATGTTTTATTTTAAACCCCGAATACAAGTGTAATGTTACATTTTACTAAAGGTGATCTTATCCTTTAAAGTGGAATTGTAGCATTTTTAAAAATATGCTGATTTATATGGAATTAAGTCCAGTGAGTTACAAACAAATTAACTTGCGAGCCACTGAGGTATATTATGAAGGTATAAGTACTAGATCGCTGGTTAGTAAGCCCACTCTCTTGTGATGTGCGTTTATCAAAAATTAATTTAAATATTAACCGCGCTCTAATATCCACAAAACAAGTGAATCAAAAGTGCTAAGTGCTTATAAATAAATAAAATATAAAAATAAATGATGTATCGTGATTAAAATTATGACTTGTGAAACCAAATAAATTAATATTTAGCGTAACTAATTATATAAAATAATTCATATCATATTCACACGTCACTAAATGTGCAATCCTTATAACAATGTGCAAATCTTCCATCAGTGAAAAACATACATCATATAATTTGATAAATGAAATTAAAAAGTGAATGAGAAATAATAAATAAAAAATAATGAAAAAAATAAATAATATAAAGTCTCTGAATAAACGACAATTATATCCCAATGTGCAAAATAAATGTCCAGCTTGGATGGATATCCTCTCCTTCACTGTGAAGATGTAATCTTTACTGTGATGTTGAGAACCTGTGTGGCTACAGGACTGTGAGGGATACTCCCTTCTTTGATCCACTCCTTAGTCCTCTGCCTCTGTATTCCTCGTATGTAACATGTAAGAAAAGGAATAAAGATATGGTGTTTTATCTCGGGTAAAACAGCCTTTTATTGTGCTTCTCTGTTGTACTCACATTTTAAAAGTATCAAAAGAGCTTTGTATATATATAAAATCTCCCACAGCTTGTAGCTAAATCAAACAAGCGGTGTGTGTAAGTCCAGTGAGTTGTTTTGCCACCTTGTGGACTTATCTTTTTTTATTTGCAGTTTATTTTTTTTTACCAAGCTCTGAGAGTATATCTGTCACTATCATAGTGCTGTGACAGGAAAGAAGCACTCCGTTACACAATAGCTGCTCTTCCCATCCTTCCCTTACACTATCCATTCACAGAATACATTGCATTATACTAAGCCTTCGGTGACTGGCACAGAGGAGCAGGCAGAGCGGCTTCTGTTGACTCTGCAGCTGCTGTATCGTGGACATGAAGGCCAGTTATTGGAGCACTGGAAGAATAGCGATAGCTGTACTCTGAGCGCTTTGAAAAAATGTAAATTTCAAATAAATGTTAAATCCACAAGGTGCCATACACTTTATTGTACTTAACCTCTTATAAGCCAGCAGGTTTTTGAAAGTGCTGGAGTTCTGCCTTAACCCCCGGTTCACATCTATGCGGCTGTGCGGGCTGCGTTTTGCACGGGCATGACAGCCCATTAATTTGAATGGACTCCTGTGCCCGTGACACGCAGGGGAAGAAGTCCCTGCACTTCTGTGGAAAACGCAGCCGAGGTTCCCAGTACAGTCTCGTTTTGCAGTGAATGCATTATTAGAAATAATGGCACCCACCCGCGGGTCTGCATTACTCTGAGCGGGTGGTGCGGCTGCACGGATTTTTGTGCGGATCCGCAGCGGCACCACCCACACAGACGTGAACCTAGGGTCAAGCTATGAAAAGTGCACGGTGCTTGGAGTTGTGGTAAACTAAAAAAAGCCTGACTTTATATATTTCCTTGGGTTCAGCTGCAAATTTTGGCCTTTTCATGGCAATTTTGATTCCCTTTTTTTTTTTTTAATGCATCTGCACTATAAGCTGTTCCCTTTCATATCCAGCCCGGTGATAACAGTGGTGTTTGCTACAGATGTTGCTCTTTACACAGAAGTGACCACCAGAGGTGGTGGGGTGGGATCATGCAGTGCTGTTTACAAAGCAGGGAACACATCACTGGATGGGTAGCGCTGTGCCTGAAAACAGATCTTTATTTTACTTTCAGTGGTTTCCACGAGCTGGAAACGTCTGCCTTCATCAATGACATCCAAAATATTTGTGTTGCTGTATGATCAAAGGCCTCATTGTTATGGAGAGCTTTCCAATGGTGATGTATAAGAGTTGGAAATTTCCACAGGGGTGGAACAAACAGAAAAAATTGAATTACAATGCAGATTAAAAGCCTGCTTCGTACTGTTTTACATGGAAACTCCTAAACTATCTGACAGTCGTCTTGTGAATTTTTATGCAGGCCATAGACGGGTCGAAAACCGTCCGTTTAAAAAAAAAAAAACAAAAAAAAAAACCGAAAAAATCGGTCGTTCAATAGGCCGACGTTACCAACAATGGTAAAAAAAATCGGCTGATTTTTGTCCCGTCGACGGCTGGCATTTAATTACTTCTGTCCTTGCAGAGAGCTCCGCTATTATATTTGACATGAAAAAGTATTGCAGTTGCAACATTGTATCTATTTGTATCCATTTCAGATACAGATGTTTTTATTCGGATACAAATAGATACAACGTTGCAACCGCTATACTTTTTCATGTCAAATATAATAGCGACTGGAATTCTTTTTCTTCTTCCTTCTTCTTTCTTCCTTCTTCTTTCTTCCTTCTTCTTTCTTCTTCCTTCTTCTTTCTTCCTTCTTCTTTCTTCCTTCTTCTTTCTTCCTTCTTCTTTCTTCCTTCTTCCTTCTTCCTTCTTCTTCCTTCTTCTTCCTTCTTCTTTCTTCTTCCTTCTTCCTTCCTCTTCCTTCTTCCTTCCTCCTTCTTCCTCCTTCCTTCTTTTTTCTTCTTTTTTCTTTCTTCTTTCTTCTTTTTCTATCAGGTCACGGCTCATGCGCAGATTTTTTTATCGGTAAGAAGATCGTCCAATTTGCCCATCATTGCCGTGAAAATCGGGCGATCGGCAAAACCGGACAATTTGTTTCCAACTTTACCGATAAAAAAAAAAAATGTGCCAAAATCACAAAAAACGGCCGACCAATTAACCCACTAACGGTGCGAAAATCAGCCAATTTATTTTTTTTGGCCAATCAGTGATCACATGATCGGGACCTTACGGCGATTGCGGTGCCATGCGCTCCCAGGGAGCACGCACAGGCAGTGAACGCAGGTGACGTTTAGAAACATCAACCCATTTCGGCAGCACTCCCGTCCGGCCGTTTATGTACATGGGCCAGACGGGAAGTGGTTAAAGTGTATCTGAACACAAAAGGTGAAGATTTTTGTCAGGAATATATAGAAAAGGTAGTTAGATTTAAAAAAATTACTTTCTTCCTTAACAGTCTCCTTGCTTGGAGTCTCTGACATGAGGAGGCAAATCCCTGTCAATACCAAGACTGCTGTCGTCACATGTGCAGAAAAAGTAATGGCAAGTCAGTAATGGGGAACAGATCAGCTATAGGGACCCACACTGACTAGTCATTTGCCTTCCTTTTTTGGACGAGTTTCTTTTTAAATGCAAACTAAAAATGAAATTAAACTAAAATCATTATAAAACCGTAGTAAACACTTCCGTGAAAAAACAAAACAAAATAAACACCTTCTCTTTGCTAGGTAAAGTCATGATGTGCTAATATGCATTGCATACTAGCACATTATGGAAGCCTTACCGTAAAACAAAGTCCTCCAGCAACCTCCATTGTCACTGCTGACAGGGCTTCCATCTTCACCCGGTCTTCCTGACCCTTTGAGTGGCCGAGCCATGATGATATCACTCGTGTTACATGGGATCCGCTGCACACAGCTCTGAAGGGACAGCGTGGCCTTTATCTATCACGCTGGTCAGATCTGCCCCTTTTCTTTCTCAGGACCACAAGTTAACTGGCCTTACATTTTTTAAATTTCATCTGATTCCTGTGAACTTGCAGACGACTGAGCTGTGGGGGATCCCGCTGACACCAACCGTCTTGACAAACTTCGATTGGGATTTTGAAGGAGATAAATGCTGTGAATTTTCTGTTATAAACAGGGGTGAATCTCTCCTGTAAAAAGAAATTAAAAGGCTTGTGCTTTTTACCAGCCACTTTAGTGTAGAGGTTGATAACCCCTTCAATTAATAAGCTTTTTCTTTTTTTTTTTTTGGCTGGATGTTTAATTACTGAAGGATGTGTACTGGATAACAAATCAGCATTTTCTATATATCATGCAGATACAGAACTCATGTTGTATAATTTTTCTCTATAAATGTAATATATATGTTTTTTCTTTCTCTCTCATAGGCCGGGAGCATGGAGAGAGCCAGTTAACCCTTACTATGTCAACACTGGGTATGCGGTGGCGCCAGCCACCAGTGCTAACGACAGCGAGCAACAGAGTATGTCGAGTGACGCAGATACCATGTCCCTGACGGACAGCAGTGTGTAAGTGTCTATTTTATATATTGTTAAACACACTAAATCCATCTGTAAATAATTTGGCCATCCAGTGGAATTCAGAACCAAAATGCTGACTAACATAAACGGCCATATGTTTAATAATTTACTAATGCTGAAGCATTTAATTAAACTGGGTCACAGATGCTGAGTTTTTGTAGCATCCAGGATCAATGGCATGCTTCGAGACCCTATGGCCATCACCAATGAAAACATTTTAGGTAAAAGTGCAGAAGGAGGGGGGGGGGGGGGAATATATATATATATATATATATATCAGCTACATCATCCATTCTTGGGGATTTAGGCAGTCCAATGTGCCACAGCGGCAGAAGGACTTAGATTGTTCTGATACAAGTGCAGTGACACCACCATCACCATTGTTTACTTCCTCTAGTGCCATAAGGCTGAGGGTAAACAATGCAGGCGCCTGTGTATTGCATCCACGTCACACTGATCACAGTTGCAATGCTCCACAGACTTTAATGCAAAAACCTAATAAACGCACACGAAAAAAAACAAACATATTTTAAAGGTAAACTACCCTTTAAATTTTTGTTTGCTAGAGCTAGAGTCAGTTCCCTAGCAATACCCTTCCTTGCATGTCATAGTGTTCTCCCTTTCTGGAAGTGCTCTATGCCAGCCATTCCTTTTGTGTGGTGCAAATCACACCGCACCAGCAAGGAAACTGCATGGGATTTGGACAGGTATCGCACACGCATTACTGTTCTAATTACATACAAGGAAGAAGAGCTTGACAAAGGAGCGCGCTTCCGCCCTCAGAGGTTAGCGCATGCTCTATGCATGCTGGTCCTTGACGGCATCGCGCTGACGTTGTGCCTCAACGTGCGTTCCAGACGCCATCTTTAGGAGACTCCACACGCCAGCTGGCTTTTCTTCTCCTGTTACCATGATTCCTGAGCGCAGACGCGGCTGTCATAGCCAGGACACAGCCGTTCCTCTATCTCCTTTGAGACTGCACCCTATGAGCTTGTTTTTTTACAAAGAAATGTTCTACATTTAACTCCTATTAACCACTTCCCGACCGGCCGTTGCATATAAACGGCCGGACGGTGGCAGTGCAGGGTCGGGTGGCCATTTATAAACGTCCTCCCCGCTCCCTGCTTGTGCGTGCTCCCTGGGAGCGCGCAGCACCGCGATCCGGTGCCCGCTGTGTCCTCCGGACACAGTGAAACACCGATCGTCGGACGGGACCTCTGTACGAGGTCCCAATCATGTGATCACTGATTGGCCAATCAGTGATCACATGCAAAGTAGTAAGCAAGATGTCACTTGTGACATCATTGCTTACTACGTGTGAAATCTGTGAATGATCACAGAGGTCACATGGTACAAGGCTATTCACAACAGCCTTGTACCATGTGACAAGCTGTGACCAATCACAGCTCACTCAGTACTTCTCAATGGCTGCATGAATGCAGACACAGAGAAAGAGAAATTATTGCTTTTACATCCTATATGGGTGTAAAAGCAATCAGTGTAAAAAAAAAAAAAAATCTTCATCACCCCTCACAAGTAGTACAGTGTCACCATGGTGACACTGTACTGCTAGGGTGACAGTATGTAAAAAAATAATATAAAAATGTAAAAAAAAATTGTTTAAAAATTATAATTTTTGGTTATAAACTAATTTGGATTTTTTTTTTTTTTACTAAAAAGATAACGGAATAAATTTTTGCAAAGATTTAAGATGAAATATTATTTATTTGCAAAATGTTATAAAAAAAACACTTTTTTTTCCAAATTTTTGGACTTTTTCATTTACATAGCAAAAAAAATAAAAATCCCAGCGGTGAATAAATACCACCAAAATAAAGCTTTATCTGTCTCAAAAAAAGGTAAAAAAATTCATTTGGGTACAGTGTTGCATGACCGCGCAATTGTCATTCAAAGTGTGATAGCGCTGAAAGCTGAAAATTGCCCTGGTCAGGAAGGGGGTAAAAGTGTCCGGTCTGGAAGTGGTTAAATAGTGGTTTATACTGCACTTGGAGGCACTTTTTTTCTTTTCTTTTTCAAATTACATGCAATTCTTTGCAGTGTGATTTGAGCCCATTCATTTTGTATGGGCTCAAATTGCATCGCAAAGGAATCGGTATTGGCGAGTATTGGTACTCTTCCTTGCCGATTTGAATAAAAGAAAAACCAGTATCAGTTGAACCCTAGTGTAAAGTGCTATCAAAGTCTCACTGGAAATTGTGTGAATGGAGACTTAATGAGGACATTTTTTTGTAATAAAGAAAAAACACACAGGATTACAGGGGGGTCATAGTAATACACCGGTAGCCTCCCTGGCAGTATTCCCGAGTGTAGTTCGGGTAAAGTTTCAGTACCAAAAGCGGTAACCCCGAGCTACACTCGGGATTACCATGCGGCACTGCTCCGGGATCCCTCGATCACTTACCTTGTCCTGCGCTCCCGCGATGTCCCCGGCAATGTCCTCCGGGGGATGCCAGTATCTTTCATCTGGATTCCGTCACCTTTGAGCGTCAGGACGTACATGGGAAGGAATGGCGGGAAATTTGAAAATGACAAAAAGTGACATTCACTAAAATCACATAGTATAACATTCCTGTATCAAACCATTTCACATACATTTTGTCCCGAGTGCTTTGTCCGGTGCCCTGCCTGCATTTTTACTGTTCTTTCTGCCTGGAAACTGAGAAATGTCCATGGCGTCCAAAAAGCGTCCCTTTAGGTCAAAAGTGGTTTTAGACCGGCTAGATAGTAAATCAGCGATAGTAAATCAGAACCACTTGCAGAATTGAGTGATAATGATTCGTGGGGAAATTTGTCATCAGACACTGAAAACGATTTTACGACTTTGCTCAGCGATGTGCGAACTTGGCGCTATATTTCAGATTTCTGTTTTTTTGGTTTGATTATATTATTGAATTAAATTTATTATTATTATTTTTTATGATTATTTATTAAATTATAATTTATGATTTTGTGTTTCAAATTGTAACATACCCGGGATGTTTACTAGACTCTTGTTCGGACAGATTTCAGTGAGTTATTCCTAAAAATTACAGGCCTACAATAAAAAAAAATACATATTTGCATGCAAAAAAATGTACCGCTTTGAGCACAGAAATATGGACATAATCAGACCGCTAGGGAGGTAAATCATTTGTGAATCAGCTGGCTGTTGTGGATTTAAAATATGTACTTGATGACCTTATATTACTTCCCTACCCTTTTGCTTGTCTCCTCTAGAGATGGAGTTCCACCATATAGATTACGAAAGCACCATCGCAGGGAAATGCAAGAAAGTGCCAAAGCAAACGGACGTGTGCCACTACCTCACATTCCAGTAAGTATCAGCATTCCCTTAAGCAGGGGTGGACAGACTTGTGTTGAAATCAGGAGCCAGTCAGTCCAGTGTAGGAGCCAACAGGAACTTTCTGGGTGACAGGAAGCACATTTCTCCATTAACAGGAGGCCGGCTTAAAAAAAAATTGCTGGAGACCAGGCGTAATCATTCAGGCACATTGGTTACCTGACTCTAGTACAGCCCAATACACGTCTATGGAACTCGTCTGCCTACATCTCCCGGCTGTCGATGGGCAAATGTAGCGTGCTGTTCACATCAGTCAGGCATTTCTGAGATCTTTCAGAATTCTCAATTTTTTCATACGCAACGATAAAAAGATAATAAATATTTCTTACTTTCAAACCACAAGAAAGAGGATCTGTTTATAGACATTATTACATATCAAAAGCAGCAGGCTATGCTGCATATGAAGATTTGTATCCAACATATAGCGACGTGTAAAAACAGCAGGTTATCCTGCGTATGATGGTTTTCATACAACACCTTTCTTGGAACAATTTCCTCTGTTTTCAAGGATCCCCGTACAGTTCAGTTCACAAAGGTAATCCTATTATATGTTGAAGGAAGATCACCATATGCAGGGCAATCTGCTGTTTTTGATATATAACTTCGTCTATATACATAAATAGAGAATAGTTTCATTTGATGTCTTTGTATCTTTATGTGTGAATAAAAATTATAACATTTTCCAATTTCTGTATCATTGACTAGTTTGCTTGTATCTTAAATATTCTCATTTTTTCATGTAAGTGATTCTATCCTTTATGAAGGCCGATCAGCCACAACCTTACAGGATAAGTTCACCTGTCGTAACATTGTTACACCTATATTCAGGGTAAAACATAATGTAATCAGATCTTTCCCAGCTGGTAGGGGATTTTCTGCTCCCTGCTAGCTGTCAAAATTTTTTAAAAAACATGGCCGTGCGGGGCTCTGCCGACCTGGCCACATCACTCATTGACAGTCCTCTGTGAATGAGAAACTACCAGTCCCGACAGCCTTTAGGGCTCATGTCCTAGATTGTAAGCTCCCAGGATCAGGGCCCTCAAATCCCTCTTGTATTGAACGGTATTGTTGCTATATTGTCTCCCACTATAATGTTATATTGTAAAGCGCTGAGCAAACTGTTGGCACCATATAAATCCTGTATAATAATAATAATGTACACTGCAGCTGATAAACTGACGTTCAGGAGCTGTTCAGCGTTTTTTTCAGCAGCCCCTGAACTCTCCCTAATGTTCTCCTATGTGTCCATGTACACATCGTTGTTTACAGGCAGTTGAGTTTACAGTCATTTTTTTGAATGCACCAAAACTTGCGTTCAGGACTAGATTTTACCGGCATTTGAAACGCTTGTAAACGCAATTAACCGCGTTTATAAGCGTTTGCGTTTGGAAGCGTTTTTTAACTGTTCCATATCCAGATGCTGTCCAGAGACTTTTTTCATCAGAAATGCATGCAAAGCATTTACCATGTATTCAAATAATGCTCATGATGGGATCCATAGTGAATACAACCAGAAAAAGACCGGTAATCTCAACACATACTGCTCTCTCTGCTTCTGCTCTCTCTATTTCTATCAAAATGTCTGAAATAGTTTATTTTTTACTATTTTTCAGTGCATTCTGGGCATTTGGGAAGGTCTCCTGAGGCATTTTTTAAAAAAATGCTTCTAAACGCAAACGCGCATAAACGTGGTATGCAAACGCGGCTAAACTGACGTTTTTTAACCTACATTTTCCAGCAGTTAGTTTCCATCATTCAGAAGCGTTTTCCAAACACCCCGTGTACATGGAGCCCTTAGCAGCTGTCGGCTTGTAGTTCTCAGTGAACTACCACAGTGCTGTGGACCACCATGGTAGTTCATGGTGTCTTCCTGTCAGTTTATCTGCTTGCCTTTACATCCCATCTGCTTGAGACCTGCATGGCACCAGTGATCTGCACGCTGGTGCAATGGTTTACCGGCTCCTGAAACACCTTACCTGCAGAAAAATGTTTTTTTTTTTAAGCAAAAGGTGAATTTATCCTTTAAAAGCAATTGACAGATACATTTGGCCTGTGGCTGACCTCCTGAACTACTTTTGACCTGGACCATACAGCGTATGGACCTTGCAGCCATTAGGAAGATTCACCCTCTTTTTGTCCTGTTTACCATTCTCATTGGAAGTGAAAGTAAAATAAATTTGGGTTGTCTAATAGAGGGGAAATCTTCCAATGGGGGCACTAGTTCTGGTGACCTGGGGGGGAACCCTAGGGATTCCCTTAATTTGCAGGGATTTCCTCTCACTTCCTGTTTTAGCTATGAGAAGTGAAGGCAATTAATCTCATTTAGGACGTAGATTGACAAAAAATAAACTGACAGATTATGACCATCCCTTACTTTGTCTAAAATGGGAAAAAAAGTTCTACTTTAATTAAAAAAAACAAGAAATAGTTGATTGCTAGAAGCAGCTTAACTGTAGGCAAGGCTGGAGTTCAGCCTTATGTATTCCTACCCCTGTATTACCCCTGGTAATGGCATCTTTAAGGAATAACAAATGAAAGCCCCATTTGTTAACTCATCACATATGTAAACACAGGGTTTAGCTCTGGTTCACATCTGTGCGGGTGGTGCCGCTGCGGATCCGCACGAAAATCCGTGAAGCTGCACCACCCGCACAGAGAAATGTGGACCCACGGGCGGGTGGCAATAGTTCTAATGGCACGCCGCCCGCACTGGAAAACGCAACCGTACTGGGAACCTCGGCTGCGTTTTCCAAAGAAGTGCAGGGACTTCTTCCCTGCGTGTCACAGGCACGGGAGTCCATTGAAATGAATGGGCTCTCATACCCATGCAAAACGCGGCCCTGCATGGCCGCATATATGTGAACCGGGGGTTAGATCAGATATTTACAACCTCTTAGTGCTTCTGCCTGTGTTACCATCTAGCACAGGGGTGGGCAAACTGCGGCTCTCCAGCTGTTGTGGAACTACATTTCCCATGAGGCATTGCAACATTACAAAACTGGCAGTTACAGCTATGACTTGCAGAGGCATGATAGAACTTGTAGTCCTGCAACAGCTGGAGAGCCGCAGTTTGCCCACCCCTGAACTAGCAGATACTGTTTAGTATTCGGATCCAGTAGCTGTAGGCCTCGCTTTGCTGCTGCTTTTACTACCACGTTCTCATAGAGCAGGATGCATTTGTACATCCTCTCCTTAAAGTCCCCTGTTCAATTTCACTAATTAATTTTTTGGGTTGGGCATTGACAGATTGACATAATGGCTGCAAAAAGGATAATATGAAGATTTTGCAGGCAAGGGAACTGCATTTTGAAACATGTTTGTATGTATGTTGGCAGCCATCACTGAATTTATCCTTTAATAGAGGGGCAGTAAACCAAAGAAGGAGGTAAGTGAACAAGGGAATCCTGCAACATCAGGGATGAAAGTGATGCAAATTAGAATCACATTATTAGATTAGCGTTCTGTGTGGGAAAGTTCAGCAACAACTAGTTTAGTCACACCCTAGGATTATGCTGCTTATGTTCTACCCAGCGGGCCTGTCCTGGATATACAATACCATTATTTCACTCCAGTTCATGGCATTTCCCGATTCATTAACATAATCTCGTATCGCCTGTCATTTTGTTATTATGCGTCTGATATCCGACCCAAACACGCAGCTCTTTAAAGTCGAGTAAACATCATATCATCCTCTTACAGTTTTGAATTCTGTAGCCTGGGTGGCAAGTTACAGATCATAGGTTTGTACATGAAAGGAGCCTGCTACCAACACTGCTGCAAAACTGAAAAAAAAAAAAAAATCTAATATTGGTTTATACTGTTGCCAAGGATGACTAGTGTTTTCCTTCCAGCTTTTTTTTTTTTCCCAAGTGTGTATCAAGGCAAAACCTTTTATTTTTTTTTATTTCTAGTTTGGATAGAGTGGGGAAGGATTAGAACTCTTACATCGGAATGAGGGTTCCTCTCCCTCACAGCCGTCTTCACTTTTAGAGAGAATTGACACTATGCAGCCATTGAATAGCAGAGTAGCTGCAGTGATTCACCTCTCTGGCTGGCCTGTGTTGCCGGCTGCGGTAGGGGCACCGTGATGCACTTCATTCACTGCAACGTCGGGCAGCAAGGTATGCTGTGCTTCCCGACATTGCAGTGCGATTTGGCCTGGTGAGCTGCGATAAAATGCAGCATGAGTGCCTTTTACTGCTGCACAGCACTAGGCTTTGTTACAGTGTGAATGGGACACATAGGAAACAATAGTTTCCTGTGTGTTTCTGAGATGACAGATATTTTTCCAATGCGGTAAAATGTCTGTCAATACATATGTGAATTGGTCCTTAACCTCCCTGGCGGTATTCCCGAGTGTAGCTCGGGGTAATATGTCAGTACCAAAAGCGGTAACCCCGAGCTACACTCGGGCTTACCATGCAGCGCTGCATAGGGAGTCCCTGCAGAGCTTACCTTGTCCTTCGCTCCCACGATGTGTCCCCTGCAGCGTCCCCGGCCATCTCCATCCAGCTTCTGTTTTCCGGTCCCTGTGACGTCAGAACGTACGGGCGCTGCCGGCAGCGGGAAATTTGAAAATTTTAAAAAAATTTCTTTTTTTCCAAACAAATTTTACATAGTAAAACATTGCTGTTTCAACCCATTTCACATACATCTTGTCCCGAGTGCTTTGTCCTGCCCCCTGCCTGCATTTTGTCTGTTCTTTCTGCCTGGAAACTGAGAAACGTCCATGGTGTCCAAAAAGCGTCCCTTTAGGTCAAAAGCGGTTTTAGACCGGCTAGAGAACAGCGATAGTAAATCAGAACCACTTGCAGAATTGAGTGATAATGATTCGTGGGGGAAATTCCTCATCAGACACTGAAAACGATTTTGCGACTTTGCTCAGAGATGTGCGAACTTGGCGCTCTATTTCAAATTTCAGTGTTTTTGGTTTGAATATATTATTGAATTAAATGTATTATTATTATATTATT